AGGGGGGACGCGGGGATCAAATCGCGAAATTCTCGCAAAAAAACGAATTTTGGATAAGGGCAGATTTGGATTCTGCATCATCATTTCTATCATATCTAAAAATATTTCCGCCGAAAACGATCTCAAAGTAAGCTTAAAAAATGTTTTTCTGACCGCGGATCGCAAAAAGCTGGCTGAAATCTGCGCGAAAATGGCCCATTTCCGAGCGCGATACTTCCGCGCCTTCGCCGCCGCTCGCGGAAAGCTTGGTGTCACTGGAAAGCTTGCTTCACCGCCGTACTTCTCCCGGTGAAACCACGACTCTACGAGCTAAGATAAACGCACAAACAGAAAAAATGCGAAGGCATCCGCGACGCCTTAGACGCGCACCCATTGGTCGCTCCTGTCACGTGGTACTGAGCGCGCTCTGTGAGTGGCTGCTGGGACGCGCTTGCTTGCGCTGGTCGTCTGCTCCGCGCACGCACGTCTGCTACGCACACGCTGGCGCACTATAGTTTGCGAATCCCCTGCCGATACGCCGATACGGTCGGCGATACGCAAACTCTTCTCTAGCGCGAGGCTTAGCGCCCGCAATGGATCGTCGCGTGGACCGGAAGCGCAGGACGAAGTACCGGACGAAGTACGCTTACGGGAAGCGTAAACGCAAGCCTCCTGTTGGGAAAACGAAGCAGTCAGCAGCGATTGAATCAGACGAACCGAGTACCGCGTCGCCACCAAGCTACGTGTCGTCGGAAGCCGACACCTGCTCGCTGCCGATGCTCGGCAGTGAGGCCTATGACGCGGGGCCGTCAACTAGCCGCGACGTTGCGGTGCGGCCCGAACGCGAAAGAAGTTTCGTTTTCGCTGCGGCGGGTGACGATGCGGTGCCGGCTGTTCAAAGTGACGGTGAATCGACGCCTGGCAGTGACACTGAAGACCCGGGGCCATCAACTAGCCGCGGCATCACGGTGCGGTGTGAACGCGAGAAAAGTTTCGTTTTCGCGGCGGCGGACGACGACGTGGTGCCAGCTGTCCAGGATGTCGGCGATCGTTTGCCTCAGCGGAAGCGCACCGTTCAAATACACCTGGAACCTCGTTTCGTGTCCTCGGAAGGCGCCGAGAAGCAAGCCAGCAGTGTCCGCGATGCACTTCGCGAGGTGTCGGCAACGGAGCGGAAGTTCGGGTTCGCGCAGCAAACGGAGCAAACATCGGCAACAAAAGAGGATGAGTTCACCATAATTCAGGTTTCTGCCATGAATTCCCTAATAGGACCTGCACTCTGCCCAAAATGTTGTAAGAAGACTTTGTCAGTGCAGCATGGGACAAAATTGGGCCTGGCAGTAAAACTGGTACTTTTGTGTGCTTCCTGTGGCCCTATTCATTCACCTTGGTCATCCAGTAGAAAATCCGAAGGAAGGGCTTTTGAAGTCAACCTAAGAGCCATGCAAGCAATCAAGTCCATTGGAAAAGGGCCCACTGCCCTGAATGACTTCTGGGCTACAATGAATGTCTCTCATCGGGGCATTCATCAAAAAACCTATCAGGAACACCTAAAAAAACATTCAAACCAGGAGCAGAGGAAGCTGCACAAAACATCTTTGCAGATGCTGTGCTTGCGGTAAAAGACGTGTACAGTAAGATGCAGCCATCAAGCCCAAACAACATCACAGTTGTGTATGACGGCACGTGGCTTACAAGAGGCCACAGCTCACACATTGGGGTAGGATGTATTATTGAGTTTTACACGGGGCTTGTGCTGGATTGCACAGTCCTTTCCAACTTCTGTCTTGGGTGTTGTCAACAACCAGCAGAGAGCGACCCCAACTTCGTCACTTGGGCTGAGAAACATCAATGTCAGAAGAATACTGATGTTGGCTCCGGACAGATGGAAGTGGAGGCTGCTCTGACACTTTTCAGGCGCTCTGTCAGCAGGTATGGCCTCCGCTACACCAACATTATATGTGATGGTGACAGCCGAACCTATCTTGCTCTGTGCAAAGATGAGGTGTACGGCTTCATACCACTGACCAAAGAAGACTGCGTGAACCATGTGCAGAAGAGAATGGGCACCGCTCTCCGCACACTGGTGACAAGAGCTAAGAAAGGGGAGCCATTGGGTGGGAGAGGTGGACTGACGCAGGAGTTGATTAAAAAACTGACCAGCTACTACGGGTTAGCCTTGCGAAAACACACAAGTGTCCCTGACATGCAAAGAGCCGTGATGGCCACTTTTTATCACGTCACGTCCACCGACGACGAGCCTCACCATGAGCTCTGCCCACCTGGCCCTGATAGCTGGTGCAAACATCGTTCAGCACAGGCCAAAATGGAGCCAGCACCACCTCACAGGTATAACCTGTCGAAACGTGTAGCGGAGGCTCTGCTGCCTGTATACCAACGTCTCTCTGACCCGCAACTGTTGGAGCGATGCAAAGGCAACAAAACTCAGAATGCGGCGGAAAGCTTGCATTCAGTTATTTGGTCACTGACTTCAAAGGACCAACACGCTTCATTGTTCGCAGTGGAGACAACAGTACATGAAGCAGTTGCACGCTACAATTTTGGGAATTTGCGAGCCTACACTGAAATGTGCAAGTCCGTGGGCATCAAACCTGCTAGCCTCGCCCTTCAAAGAGCTGAAGAAAAAGACCAGCAAAGAAAACGAAAAGCACGCAGTGCAGAAAAAATGAAAGAGAAAGGACGTAAGAAGACCCTCGCAAGCAAAGACACAAAGTATTACAGTCCCGGGGCATTTTGATGGACCTTTACTGACTGTTCAACTTTAACGCTAGTTTTCTCAGAAACGTGTTTTGACCCGACTGTCCAGCTTGCCACGATGCTTGCATGACTATGGCTTGACGGATTTTCATGTGGTTTTTTGCATTGTGTTCCTCAGTGAATTTTCTATGTCGTGACGTTTTCATATTTGTTAATTACTACCTCAGTATTTTTACTCCTAAGCTAATTTCACATTATGATAACGACCACATTTACAAGCATGTATACAATGTTCTCTGTAAAATAAAAACACAGTCATAAAAATATTTGCAGAATGTCACGACATCAACCATCCCAATGGCTAAAATATAAGAGCAACTATAGGCTTCTACCATGTTTTTTTGTCACACCAGGCTTTGGGCAAGTTTGGTAGTACACTGATGGATAAAATAATTTATAATGCCAGAACTACTGGAGATAGCTGAATGAAACTTTGTCATTTATCATTTAGCGCAGTTTCCAGTAAGCATACCAAATTTCATTGCTCTACGACAAAAACTAAAGAATTTCACTTTCGATCCCCACCTCCCCCCTTAAGTCTAACTGGCAACTTCAACACTGTTTCACCTTCCGCTTGGTACTGCCTGTTGAATCTGAATTGCTCTGCGTTGATTCAGCTTGCAGGCTTGTAATGGTCACTCAGTACATTGACCAGGTCTACAAGACTCTTTTCTGCAGGAGTCACCAGTAGAAGCAAATCCTTGAGCATCTTGTATGCATTCTTTTCAATGGCCATTATGAAGGTTGTCTTCTTTGAGCTTCTCCTTTTGTACGTTGGCTACTTCACGGTAGTGTTCGAATCTTTCCACATACGAAGCAATGTCTTTACCGCCGCCTTCCAGGAATGTATGGAGTTATAATATCTTGGTCATGCTGTGCTCTTCCTTGGCTCAGTCCTTCGTAGGATCCGCCCCTTCTCATCGTAGACTCGTTTCATAATCTTTGTCACCAGTTGTAGCTCGTTAACAAGAAAGCAGCAGTGACACATTTCGTGCCGTACAGTTTAATCTGATAACCCAGCATCTTGCTTGGCAATATACTCACACAAGTTGCATTGCGTCAGTAGTGGCATCACCGCTCTTTGTCTTTTCATTAGATACAACAGTTTGTAGTTACCACTGTTTTTGGCATCATGCTCACACACATAAACTCGGAAGAGTACATTTTATGTATAGTTCCTGCACAGTGCGGATTTGCAGCGAAGTTCACACAAATAGAGAGGTCGTAAATGTTAGTCAGCAATACTGCTACATTTTTTCATGTTTATCATGTCAGCACTGCAGAGGTTAATTGCATGTTTAAGCGCTCTCAAACTTACACTCCAGTTGCATGCCTTTATTGTCGAAATGACCCACCGTCTTGTTGGTTCAGTTGTTCTCTTGTGGAGCCACTGAAAAATTTTGTTTCAGTTATTGCGCAATACTGCTTATAGTGTAGATATTCTAGACTTCCGCAACTTATATTATACGCCATCTATGCTGTACTGTGCGTGTTGATCTTGTTGAATGAAATTGCGAAACACTGTATGGTATTTTAAACTTCTATGTTCTCTATAAATTGGCTCTATACATTGTAAAATGTGACAGTTTTGCAGGTAGTTGGGTATCTTCACAAGACCTTATAGGGGCACTGGCGAGGCACCAGAACAGTACTGTTTAACAGCTGTGCTGCTTGGAGCAGGCAAAAGTATGCTGCTTTGAGCAGGCATTAAGCCGCCTAATGGCACTTTGACTCACAGAAAGTGGACGTAGCAAATGTTCACATCTTAAATTTATTTCGTTGACTGTTAAGTTTCTTGAGTGTTCTGAGTGTTGGTATTGGAATCAAGCAGATAACATAATTTTCTGCATGCAAAGTTGGTCTAGGTGATTGAGCAACTATATTGAAAAACCAGTTTATCAACAAAATGACTTGGTCATATCGACTTCAGTGACACTATTTCTGCTGTTTTTCTTGAACAATAGCATATTGTGAAATTCAACTTCTGGAAATAGGGGATATTTGTAGCAGCTTTGTAAAACCATGAGATAGTGGTGTGTGTATGTGTGTGTTTTATTTTATTAAATCGAAATGTGTGGCCTACTGCACAAGATCAGTCTGGGTGCCACTTTTTGGCAAAGAAAGGAACCTATGATGGCACCTAATAACTCAATTTTTTTCCTAAGATGTGCAGGCACATTTTCTAGAGCTAGATTTGGGGATGTTTTCATAAAAATGTGATTTTTTTTTTGCCTTGCATGCAGTGGGTACATTGCTGACGTATGAGCCTCCTGCCACATCGAGAGGGAAACCTGGCTGTGCTCTGCATGAAGGCTACATGCGCTTGCTGCCATCCCTGCTTCAGGTGTGCAGCCTCCTCAGTTTGGCTGTGTCAATTTCATGTGCCCGACTCCCCATTTGTCCACTGATTTTAAGACTTTGTAGGTTGCACGAATATTCAAGCACTTGAAATATTCAGGAGCGGAACAGTTCCACCATTTGTGCCATTGTGTGCCAAGCTCACTTACCTGCACCATTCTGCGCCGAACCACCCCTGCTGCGCCAAACTTGCCTATCAGCACTGTACTGTGTTGCAGCACCGAAATTCAGCCACAAATGATGAAAGCCATCAAGCGTCGTGCCTGGAAGTATGACTGAAACATTGTCTTTTGGTTTGGTCGAAACTATTATATATCCTGTTTCATAAAGGTTGTGATCGCTCTAGGAGCAGCTGTGAACTTTGACCTTAAGGGCGTGGTCGCTATCCCTGAGTGAGCACTATCACAGCAGGCATCGGCGCGAATAGCTTGTAAACCCTTCCACGTGTCGCGCCTCATACCCCTGTCACACGGGCACTTAAAAGTCTTTTAAGTAAGCGGTCTTTTTCTGAAAAGGAGTTCCTGACAGCAGACACACGGCACAGAGCGAACTCCTTTTCAGAAGCGGTCTTTTTCGTAAACGGAGTTCGTCGCTCTCTTTTACGGATCCGAATGAGTAGCCTCGAAACCAGTGGGCGCCAGCAATTTTCGAGTGGTGGGAAAAAAAAGAGCGAATGCTTATTTTTCTGTCACCGAAACTCTTTGTAAAAACAAATTTCATATCCTGCAAAAGGTGTAATGAACTCTTTTAATGGTTATTTCCTTTTCTACTCTCGTAAGCAGCTACAACGCGTTGGCAATATCACGTGATGACGCTCGATCTCGCGCCGCGCCATTTTGCACAAGCGAGGAAAGCGTGGCAGTCGTGTGTTTGCCCGTCAATCAAGTGGTCAAGCTTGTATAGGGCAATGCCGACTCGCTTCTCAGGAGTAATGGTTTCACACATGCTGTTGCACTGTCTTTCAAGCTCACTGCGCAAGCTCTCCACAATGAAACGAAAGGTGGACGGGTACACTCGAAAAGATTGCTTGAAGTTCTGCTCACCGAGGTGAGGTACAGTTCCCTCGAACCACCTCTCGTTTCGTCTGAAGGCCCAGATCGATCGATCGATCGATCGCAGGCCTTCTTCGACAGCTCCAGTGCGCACAGCAAGGAATTGCTGAACAGCAGTTGCTGCTTGATCCTCTCCTTGGCGGCTTTTGCAGCATCTGCCTCGCTTTCCAGAGCGAGAAGGCAGGCCGTGAGGCTTGCGATCCTTGCTTTTTCTTCCGTATGGTTAGGGTGGCTAGAATGAGGAGGTGTGAAAAGCAACCGCTGAAACCGGTCCCCAAAGCGCGCTGACGCCGCTTGGAGCGCTGCACGCAGAGGCGCGGGTACCCTTGCGCAGGCGACATACGAATGAGCGTGCGCTGCTCTTCGCAAAAATCTCTCTCATGCAGTTAGACGCAGGCCCGTAGCCGGGGAGGGGGGGGGCGAGGAGCTAGGGGCCCCTTCCCCCCTAGTTTTTAGCAAGTGCCCCTCCCCCTTGAAAAGAATTTCCGGCTACGGGCCTGCTCTCACGCTATAAGGCGGTCACCTATTTTCAGTGAAAACCTTTTTTATTGAGTCAACGTACGACAATACTTAAGATGCTTAAGCCCCGTGATGTCTTACGTGGCTTAAGTATCTCTATATTTTCTCGCCTCTGAAAACAATGCTCGAGAAGGCATATGAGCGAGACCCGACACCAACTTTTGTGGATTTCGTAATATTGCGGTTACTCACGGTAGAACTGCAGGTTTGTTACGAGATGTTGCGATTACTGGAAGGCTTCATATTACTTAGAGCATGTTAAGTTTCTTCATTCACGAGCACAAACGTCGGTACAAGAGCCTCGTTTTGCTGCTCCACCGCGAACGCACAATCTTGTGCGAGTCGCAGCTTAAATTTTCACTTGGCATTCAATTATCGGTTTCCGATCGTAGCAGTTTTAACAGCCTACAATTGCTCATTAATTTAGACGAGTAACGAATTAAGAGTGCTAAAACCTACGTATCTCGCGAAGCCTCTGACTCGAGAATCGTCCCCAGCAGCAGAAATAGAGGAGACACTTTTTTAACAAAAACATAAATTTATTTTCATGCATGCCGAGGTATTCGTGCTCTGCCACTAGAGTACACATGGCTTAACTCTCCGCCCTTTCTTTTCGTCTTCTTTTTGGTTCATGCCTTTCAAAAAAAAAGTGGACACGAGTGAGGCAATAAAATCGCACCACACTTTTGGTCAAGCGAGCACCATGCTTTGGGCAGCCAATTTGTTGTGTCTCGCCAGTCCCCTTCAGCATCTCTATGGCCGACTTGGCGTGAAGACATGCTGAGCTCAATAAACGAGTGATTTTGTCCTCAAGGTTCAGGATGAGGGTATAAAGGGAATTCGACGGATGCAAAAGTCCGCCCAGATCCCACAGCTTGCTTGCCTGCGCTGGGAGATTTCCTGGCACATTTTCTCTCGAAACAAGACAGGCGTTCTTGCACTCATCACAATTATTGCTAAGTATACGCTTTCTCGGAACGTAGCCAGCGACATAATATACAAGGCGGGAGTCACTTGCACGATCTATCAACGATCTATTATGCACGATCTATCGATGTACGATCTATCGACACTATCAGCACCCAGGCACAAAGCACCAACACTGGGTCTTTTTTTTTTACCATTGACATCCTCGGGCATTTCAGAGGAACCTAGCACAAACACTGACTGATGGCATACTTGCAATGTAGCAACTGCTTATGAAGAAAATCCCAGCGCACCTGCAGCAAACACAGGAAAGTGCGCCGCGCCCTACCCGCGCCGCTGCCATCAGCGCCCCTTGCGGCATTGGCGCGCCGAGTGACCCTCTCCGACATGCGAAAAGCGCTCCGCTCATCACACCTCCCCATTCCAGCCACCCTAGTACAGTCGCCCATAACGTGTCGAGAGCAGCGAAAAACAAATACGGTAAATAAAAGCCCAGTGGTGCCAGACGGACTTGTGCATGCCGCTAGTTATGGGAATGCTTCCTTAACTAGTGCAACAAACTTTCACATTGGTGTTTCTTCATCTCTTATTCTTAAATTTATTTGAAGAAACGAGCAGTGCAACAAGTCTTTAATTTGTACATCGTGATACATCGTTTAATTTTCATTGCTTCTCTTTTAACTGCTAGCGCCACGCTTTCGTTAGCGTCTTCGAACGAAAACACTAAAAGGAGATCGTTGCTGCCGTGTGTCTGCGCCGCAACACCTCTTTGTTAAAAGTCTTTCAACTTCGTAAAGACCGCTTACTTAAAAGACTTTTTGTGCGCCCGTGTGACACAAGTATTAAACGTGAAGAGACAGCAAGAAGAGCATCTCTCCCTGTTTTGTAGAGTTACAGATACGATATGGAAATTAAAAGAGTTGGCTACCAACCTTACAGTTTGTTGCAATAGGATTCGTTGCCTCGCCATTGTAGTGAAACTTTTTTTATAACATGATGGCAGTGTTCGGAAAAGAAATCAAAGATGGCAGTAACGGCGCACAAAAAAATAAAAGAATGGTGGTGTCCGTTTCCTGGAAGGAACAGCCCAGCAAGGACAGGTGCACCGTGCACATGACCTCTCATCGAGCGTAAGCGTGTATTCTCGTTCATTTGGCCACTGTGCTTCGCACTTATTTACTCAGTCATTGACAATTAGGCATTCAGGTAAAAAACAAAAAATGAACATGGGCGGCTGTACATAACTATAGTCGCCATCGCACTTCAAGTGTGGAGCAATGAATGCGATAGCAGCAAATTGTAAGGTTGCACGAAGTGAGACTGGCAGCTAACTCGTTTTGATGCGATCTCACGTAACTGTACAAAATGCTGGTGTACGACATTACGACAACTTCAAGAAGAGCAACACTTCTTGCACGTTCTCTTTGTGATGAGAGTGCAGCACGTAGAAGTGTATTCGAGTCGCCCGCTGATGGCTTCTGAGCTAGGAAGTGCACCAGAGATCGCGACCACGCCCTTACAAGCAAAGTTCATAGCTGTTGCTCGAGCGACATCGGTGCCCCCCCCCCCTTTCCCCTCGCTCGTTTTTTTTTTTGTGTGTGTTCTTCCAAGACAGGCAAAGTGCTTCCTCTCTACTTCGACTGCAGGCCTCTTTGGTGGGGGTATCTGATGCTATCGCACGCGGCCTCCAATCGGTGGAGATGGGCTGCATCGTTTGACTTCTTGAGCCGCATTCATCGCCCCCGATGGAGCGCTTTTACTTGCAGATAGAGCATACTATGCGTAACAGTATGTTATCAATTTGGAGTTTACACTGGACATGATGGCAACTGCAAAAACCCGTCGGTAGCGTGTGCATTATTTTTATCGCAATAATGAGGCTATTGCACAATTTATCTGAGTGTTTCAAAAAAATGCAGAATTGAGCAAATTCAGCTTCACAAGTGCTTTGAATGGAGCTAAATCTGTTCTAAATTTACTCAAAAAGGCCCTTAAGTCTGCTCCAAGCGTGTGCCAAAACGTCTTTCTGGCTGCTCTAAGCCTGTTAAAAAAGCAATTTTGACGGCTCCCAGTACAGCTCCCAAACCTATGTACCCTGTTCCACCCCTAAATATTCAGACAAATACACTCAAACCTCGTTTCAACGAAGTTGAAGGGGAGCCACAAATATTTTGTTATATTCATTATTTCATTATATCGATTATAACAGTTTGTGGCAATGTATGCTCAGATGGGCGCACATCTATAAGCGTGCAAAGAAGAAAACCGTCTCGTGGCCCAATGTACCGCCACGCGACCACGCATGCCACAAAAAATAAACTCAGTCGAACTTCATTGATTCGAATATGCTTAATTCGAACTTCCGAATAATTCGAACTCACACTGATATCCCGTCAAAGCTATGTGTATTCCAACGGGTGAAAACGCCCTGTAATACGAACGTGCAAGCACTTGCGGCGGTTAATTCGAACATACCGCGCTCTAAAAA